CTCGAAGGAAAGTAAAAAGTGTTTATGCATGTGTATTTAGAGCGCTGCAGTGAATCAGGTGATAGCCCAGTAAATTGACCCACTGCTAGGATGGCAGCCCTGGGCTTGGCTGACAATGAGCAGAGTCATGCCTGCGCATACCATTTAAAGCCCAAAAGCTTCATCTGGGGTTGCTGAAACCCAGATGTCCAAGAACCTTGTTCCCGGAACCTGTCCTCGTCGATTTTTGCGCATGCCCCGCGGAACACATAAGCGAAATCAATCCCGGAGGCAACAGAAGGGGAACCGAAAGCGCCAGCAGGGGCCAAAACAGACACCACCGGCGCTCCTTTTGTAAGCTCATTCTTCGGCTCTGTTTGCATTGGTTGTTGGTCTGCTTGAACACCATCCAGCATTCAAGTTCACATGGCACATCTTGGCTGCTGGATGCGTGTGGACTGGCCATTGGGTCTATCACAGCTGATAGGCCAGTGGTGGGAACTGGAAAGGTCACGTCGGACGCCGAGGACATGGCTTGCGGATGTCAAAAATCTAGCGCCGAGCCTGTTGTGGGGAAGCATTCTCGCCTCACCATCATCACTTGAGTGGTCTCAGAGAAGGACACTCTCTTCAAAGCCTCTTGTCAGCTTCCATTTGCTTCAGAATATTATTTTAGCTTCCCCTGATGGTTTTGAAGGGAATTTATCACTCGTTGCGTTTATTCCAGGGGACTTAAGCAAATGGAAGTTTGTCAACCAGTCTTCTGAAAGGCGAACATAGTCACGCACACACACGCAGACACACTTGCCGTCCGAGCGCCTCGGACCCGCAAGACCGCAGCGAGTGCCGCGGGCATGCGTCTCGCTGAGAGCACAGCGCCAGTGCCACTGGCTGTTCAAAGAAAACCAGTAGACGTACTGTGGATGGACGAAATCCGTTCGAACCAAGTTGTCACAATGGGAAACCATAACGTTTGTTGGTCTTTTCAGGGGAATCATCAGAAACCAGCGTTTCTCAGGTGGTGCAGGATGTCGTCCATCGAGGGTTCTTTGGAGACTGCAAACTGAGTTTTCTGATCTAAATCAACTCTGATTTAGAGCTGGAAGGGGAGCCATGGGAAGATAGCCCTTGATGGCCTTCACGGCCAAAGTAGTCAAAAATGGCTTCCCCCACTATGGCTCTGAATCAGAATATGACAAATGGGAGACTTGGTTGCATGTCTTACCTATACTATACATCTGCAGCATACACACGTACTTATACACGTGTGTATACCATTTGCACATTAACTATATATGCACATACGCAACGCCCAAACATGTATCGATCTGCTTACGCGATGTACGTGATGCGTGTATATATATATATATTTAAACATACGCAGAGCAACGTATCTGCATATGTGTTGTCTACGTTTCTGTTCTCTGGGGCGCCGTCTTTGAGAGAACTCTTTTTGGGTGGCTTGAAAGGGAAACCAAAGAGGACATCACGCTGCGCAGGGCGATGCCGGGGTTCCGATTGCCTGGGGCGCCGGCGGCGCGTTCTACGACTTGGCGGGTGACCCATACAAGGTGGATTCCATTCTCCGGGAGGCGGGCTACACAGACGCGGAGCCTGGCTTTGTCGGCTTCGACCAGTCTTACAGGCGCGAAACATTCGGAGAAAATATCATGAGCTCACAGCTGGTGGTAGAAAGAACTCACCCAAGAACTCACCCATGAAGGCCCTTTTACAGGACGTAGGTGCCTTTGGCTTTAGGCACGTCGCAACCACGCATTCCAGGGTCTCATGGGCATGGGCTCCTCCAGGCTGAAACATATCTCCGTGTCGTCCGCCGTTATTTGTGAAGCGCGGCACTTGCTGACCACCACCACGACCTCCACAACGACCACCACCACCAGCACGTCGACCACCAGCACGTCGACCACCAGCACGTCGACGACCAGTACGTCGACTTCCACTTCGACACTTACTACAACCGCAGCTAGGAGGCAACGGACAATTCACCGGTACAGAGGGAAATTTCTTGGCGAGAAGAGCGCGTCGGTTTGTACGATTGCCTCCGCAGTAGCTGACTTAAAGCATTGTTTGTTGCAGGCGATAGATCTCGCACGGTTTGTGGTATATAGTGCATGTCTTGTTTTTTTTGGGATGGCCCAGAAATGCGGTGGTCAATCATCCCTTAGTAGGGATAGCCAGTCAACCCCGGAGGCATTTCCGGCCATTTAGGCTCCAAACAAATGCGAGTCACAGCTGGAAATGATCGGCCAATCATGTACGGGGTTTTACGGTTGAGGAACCACCATATTCTGAGGGCAGTGTGTTTTGTTGGCTGCTTTTTGGATTGAAGGACCGAGTGTCGCTGCGAAAGCGTCTGTTCTAAAAGGTGGGGTGAATCAGCTCATCGAGGGGCACCAAGTAACGCTTGATTGCCGTCTATGGTGGTACCTACAGATCCAAGTCATGTGGGGATGTTGGATGCACCGCCTCTGTGAGTGAAAGGGGGTTGGAAGTCGAGGCTCCGTTGGGCTTTCCAACCCGCTCGTGGTTCTCAGCTGGGTCTGGAAAGTCTGGGTACCTGAAGCTTGGAGGCCGGGGAGAGAATCCGATTGAATCGCTGTCAGTGGTTCCGGCGCTCGAGGGAAACCCAAGTTGCAGGCGAAGCATCCTCGGCCTTCAAGTCGATGATGTCGGGAGATGAGCTGTCAGTGGACGCTTGGCTTCATCAGAACTTGAGAGGTGAGGTCACGCTCGGATGCCGTAAGAGCTCTTTGGACCACACCAGGAGCTCATGTTCAGATTGCTGGAGAAGCCCAACATTGACCATTCGATCGTCATGGGCACGAGTGTCAACCCTCCTATGCAAGGCGACGTGACATTTTCAGTCACAGTGCGAAGTCATCACGGTGAGCTGAATGTTGTTTTTGCCGGCAACAACGACTACCATCACCTCATGAGCCATCGTGGAGTATGCGACGGCAAATGGCATCACCTAGTTCTGCTGGTACGAAAATCCGCCAGGAAAGTCTTCCTGTACGTGGACGGCCAGAGTGTCCTTACGCAGAGCAACCTGCGTACAGGGATAGGCCGGGATGGAGAAACGGCGCAGACGGCCGGGAACGTTTTGAATCGGGCAATGTTGGCGTGGGATTGAGCACCTAGATGTTTGCAACCTGGCAAAAAGGCTCATTGTTAGGTTGGTTGACAGGGAAAGGGGTTGTAAAAGGACACCTGGGCAAATCAATGGCTCTCTTTGCGGTCATTATTTGGGGGCTGGTTTTGGCGATTATCAAAGTCAGTATAGAATTGGGGTTTATTTCCCTTTAACCTACCACCGGCGAGTGCAGTGCATGCCTGACCCTGACAGCAACAGCTACAAAGTACGGCACGGACTTCATCCTAGGCACCGGCAGCAAGGATTGTGGAAGGCAGGGTTGGTTGCCACATGTGTGTGTGTGTGTGGGTCATTCTTTGAGGCTCCGTGACCAAGAGAAACCCAAAGGAACGCCGCCATTTTGGGGGTCTATATCCCTATTTTGACACCTACGCATCGGGAAGCAGGAAATCGAAAGTAGGTGTTTGAGCCAAGAAGGAGGTTATTTAATGTCACCAGCAGGCCCCTGGAAGGTGGTGCCATGGGCATCCTGGCTACAAGCAGAACGCCCATTTCGCCCGCCTGCAGTTCTGGAAGAGGGCGCTCTCAGGCCAAGAGCTGGGCCCGAACCGCCCCAGCACATGTGACAAGGCTGGGGTCAACGACTTGTTGCTTGATCTTGTGCCAAGCCCTGCGGTGTAGACATGGGAAAGTCGGCTTCTTGGCCCTTTGAGCTTATTTTGCGCAAGGCTTCTGGCACAGGATTGTCTTTCATGTCATTTTGGGTCCTGTACCCTGTACATCTTGCAACATGACATGTTTTGGCTCAAGTCACTATAGCAGCGGGGCGTGTTCATCCTGACCAACTCTGTGGGGACACCTTACGTTTCCAATCGGACTCACTGATTGTCCACTTGTTGGCATAGGCGGACCTTTGGATCTGACGCAATACCTACGAGCTGTGCATGTTTGGAAGTGCAGTGGAACCTCGCTGTCCTCGGTCACGTTCCGCGGTTCTGCCAGGATGGCAGCGCCAGCGCAAGGGATCTCGTTCCAAGGACTCCAGATTCGAGCGCAGGTGGAAGTGGACAGTCAATCGCAGCAAGTTCGAATCCATAAAAGGAACCAAAGGGGGCCAGAATATGGCTTCCCAAACTCCACTCCGATCTTCGGCAGGAGGTGCTGACGATGACAAGAGAAAAGGTGAGAACCCGAGCTCCCCACTGCAGTCAAGACTGGTCATGAACATTCGGCTGATGCTGCGATGAGGTACGACGAGATTAATGCACCTACAGCAACTGTGGTATCTCGTAAGAAGAGAGCTTGGGGATGTGGAGCTCGATGAGAAAGGAAGTGAGATCCGTATACTTGAGATCCAGAGGCGGAACCGACATCTGGAGAACCAGGTTACGCATGTGAGAGTATCGAGAACGTACACTTATCCAGACAGAAGAAGAAGCTATGCAATTGCAAGATGAGCTATCGTGCGAGGACAAGTTGCGCGAGGAAGCAGTCGACGCAGCAAACATGGTGCATGGTACGATGAAGAAGCGTGAGGAATTCCCCAACGTCAAACCAGTCTGAGGCAAGATCCTATCAGCCAAAAAGACTGCTAATGCTGAGAACAATACAATGTTCGAACAGAGGAAGGCATCATTTGGGACCGCGTGAAGGGCGCAGAAGAGCATCACGAAGATGTGCGTGCGCGGCGCGAAAGAACAATGTTGCGATCACAGATAGACGAACTCGAGAAAAAAGTTGCTAGCGAAGGACGAACGATTTCTTCGAGAAGCGCTGTCTACAGCATCTTGTTTCGCGGCTGTGAGTGGCAAGAAGCAGAAGTGGATGGAGGAAGACTCTCCAAGCATAGGTTAGCTAGAGACGTCGGCTGAATCGCAGTACAACAAGTTCAGCGAAGACACACCGCGCAAGAGCAGAGTCGACAATCTCAAGCCTGAGTACGCCGAGGAGTGGGATGAGTTGAAGAAGGACTCAGAGTTTCGAGATTCATAGTACTTCGAGATGGCGGGCAAGACCGAGATGGTTTGAGGAATGAAATGGACCAAGTGACAGGGAGGTACGATGAGCGCAGGAGCTGGAAGAGGAAAGGGCCGATGACAAGGGCTTGCGGCTGGCGTTGACTACCAAGAAAGTAGAGCCTCCCCTAGGATTTGGGCATGGAGACAAGACTGCCAAGACCAACGCCGCCAACAAGTGCTGAGCTCCAATCCGCGGGGTTCGATGACCGACGCGCGCCAACACGCTGTGGGCGACTAAATTCAGTCTTGCTGTCTGCGGTGACCTCGGCGCCGACGCATAACGCAACGGCAGCTCAGGCATATCATACGACCCTAAAGCGGACCTGAAGCTTTTAAGGATAGGGTTCCCTGGTACTGACAACGAACTTTTGCTCAGCCTGGGCCGGAGAGAATGACACGGCTCAAGTGCTGATCGAGGATCTGTAAGTGTGGCTCGATTGTCTTGATCCCCAAGAGTTTCCAAGCGACTGGATCTCGTGTCGCGACTGGCTTGACATCATGGCGCGGGAACATCCCTCGAGGAATTGCAGGAGTTTGTTCAACGTGATTGACAGAAGATGAACAAGGAGGAGAAAGAATCGGAGAACAAGGAGAAAGCGCCCAAGGACCAAGGATCACAAACGCGGTGCTGCTCCAGTAACACTCGAGACTGGTATGAGATGAGACGGAGTGGCAAGATGCTTGTGTGGGATTGGGAAACCTCCTTGATTCTGACTGATGATTAAGTGCAAGAAGGTTCCACCCAATCTGCGTAAACCCATGTCACCCACAAGTCATAAGGCAGTCATATCCGAACAAGTCAGTGGGGGTCTTGAAGCAGCGACCGAGGGCACTTACAGAGATGCCCTTGGCAACACTGGTGATGATGATGATCACTCTCCGATGAGCCAGACCGAGATAGCTCTACGCGGGAAGGGCTTGACTACTTGTTGGGGGGAAGGAAGCGCAACTGAGAAAGTATTGGGTTGTGTCCTCATTGGCCCTTCCATAGGACCGGACTCCCACAAGAGGTGGTGATGAGGTATCCATGTGGTACAGTTTCACGGATGAAACACGTTAACGCCCCAATCGCATTTTGGGACCTATACACCTTGTAACGTGATTTGTTTCGGCTTACGGCATCCTTTATGTTTCCATGCGGATTCACAGTCTTTTTGCAGGCTACCCTGTGGGCAGAGAAATATACCCAGGAAACTCAGCAGACAGTGCATGTGCGATTATTTTGCGTGTGCCTATGACGTGGGTCTGTGCTTGAGCCTCCAGTGCCTGCCCCATGTTTTGAAATTACTGATAGAATTCGCGGATAGCTGTTTTTGTCTGCGAGTTCGGCCAAAAAGAGATGGTTTCCCTAGCTCCCTCCAGATCCCTTTTGGTTTTGGCTAGGTGTAACCGAATTCCCTCTCATCCCGTCCAGAGCCCCAGTTTGCGGGCTCGAAAGGCCGATTTGGTCTCAGCCTACGAGCTGGATGGCTCTTACGGCGACGGTGTTGGAAGCAACCCGGACTTTGTGAACAGTCAGGCGCCCCTCGCGCAGTTCGAAAAGCCGGACACTGATTCGCGCACCTGGAGCTTCTGGGGGCGAAGCAGAAAAGCTTCGGGGGCACTTTCTGGCAACATGGAGCTTCATGCATGAGCTTTTTCACAGCTTGAGCCGCGAGCCTTCCGAATACCCGAAAGGAAGAAAACGGACAAACTGACCCGTTCGAGAGTTTTTGAGCGGCCTCAACAACGCTCAGGTGGACATGTATGGGTGCAGAAGAGTTTTGCCCGCCTTTCCTGGATGAATATGGCACCCTGGTCTCCTCGCCGTACATAGGCTGTGTTTGCACTTGCCCTTGGTGTGCCCTCCTGAGTGAGCGGAATTTTGGGAACGGGGGGTGGAAGGACTTCTCCCTGCCAACGCAGGGAAGTTCAGAGTTGGCTCATACATCATGGGTTTGCCGTGGGTGTCCTCATGCGTACTCTTTCAGTATCCAGGGCTTGAACCACTAAAATCCCATCTCAGGATTCCAGGATTCTAGCTTTTGGGTTCTTCGGTATGGCTTTCAGCGGGGAGCTGCAAAGAAGAGACGAGGGATTTGCTTTCGCACGGTCTATTGGGAACCCAGGATCGTGAATTTTGCGGTTTTTAACTGGGGAGTGTCCCATTTGCGGGATCTGGGGGTCACTTTTCGGGAAAGTTTGCCCCTTCATCCAGGGTCATGGCTGTTTTCTGGCTGCGTGCAGGGCCAGTTTGTGTCTGACCTCTACGACATCTCGAAGGTCTGCCTGTATACCCAGGCTGGCTTTTGCAGGCCAAACACCCAACTGAGGTAGCTTGAACATTTTGAAAGGGGTCTTTCTTTGTGGAAAGCTTCTAAATATTCTGTCCAGAGTGATGGCTGACGAGAATGGACAAGGAGTCAACGTGGTGCCAACCTCAATAAGCTGTTTGGCATATATATATATATATATATAATCCTTTATGATGTTGGTAGCAATCGGCGTTGGGCACTCAATTGGACAGCTTGGCGGATTTCACCAGCTGCCTTGACCATCAAAAAACAACTTTCCCGTGGGAAAGCCCAAGGAGGGGTGGTGTGTTTGGCGATTGAGCAGCTTGAGACTAAGGCGCTGCCAACTCACTCTTGGTTCTCAGCTGGGTCCGGAAAGTCTGGGTACCTGAAGCTTGGAGGCCGGGGAGAGAATCCGATTGAATCGCTGTCGGTTCCGGCGCTCGAGGGAAACCCAAGTTGCAGGCGAAGCATCCTCGGCCTTCAAGTCGCTGATGTCGGGAGATGAGCTGTCATTGGACGCTTGGCTTCATCAGAACTTGGGAGGTGAGGTCACGCTCGGATGCCGTAAGAGCTCTTTGGACCACACCAGGAGCTCATGTTCAGATTGCTGGAGAAGCCCAACATTGACCATTCGATCGTCATGGGCACGAGTGTCAACCCTCCTATGCAAGGCGACGTGACATTTTCAGTCACAGTGCGAAGTCATCACGGTGAGCTGAATGTTGTTTTTGCCGGCAACAACGACTACCAACACCTCATGAGCCATCGTGGAGTATGCGACGGCAAATGGCATCACCTAGTTCTGCTGGTACGAAAATCCGCCAGGAAAGTCTTCCTATACGTGGACGGCCAGAGTGTCCTTACGCAGAGCAACCTGCGTACAGGGATAGGCCGGGATGGAGAAACGGTGCAGACGGCCGGGGACGTTTTGAAGCGGGGCCTCTGAACCTGGCTACAGCGGTCAGTTTTTGGGGCGGTTTTTGGCGGTTCTCAAAGTCAGTGGTTGGGGGTTGCTTCCCTTTAAGCTGCCACTTGCGGCGAAACAAGCATGCCAGTCTCAGACGTGGGCTCGCGAGTGCAGTGCATGTCTGACCCTGACAGCTACAGCTACAGAGTACGGCACGGACCTCATCCTGGGCACCGGCAGCAAGGATTGTGGAAGGCAGGGTTGGTTGCCACATCTGTGTGTGTGTGGGACATTTTTGAAGCTCGGTGACCTTTTGAATCTTGGAGTCGTTTCAAGAGAAACCCAAAGGAACGCCGCCATTTTGGGGGTCATATCCCGATTTTGACACCTACGCATCGGGAAGCAGGAAATCGAAAGTAGGTGTTTGAGCCAAGAAGGATGTTATTTAATATCACCAGCAGGCCCCTGGAAGGTGGTGCCATGGGCATCCTGGCTACAAGCAGAACGCCCATTTCGCCCGCCTGCAGTTCTGGAAGAGGGCGCTCTCAGGCCAAGAGCTGGGCCCGAACCTCCCCAGCACATGTGACAAGGCGCGAGCTTGGAGCTAGCATCGGGTGAGGTCAGAGCCAGGTACGGGGCGTCAGGCGGCCCCACCCCGGTCAACCAGTGAGCACAACCTGCTTGACGTGTGTTCGCTGTGAACAAAAGGGATGGGCCCTTTGGAAAGTCGCCGGGGTGCGAATGCCTGGGGTACCACTTGAGGATTGGGTGCGGAATAGCACGGGCAATTTGGCTCACCTGACAATGGACATCTGAGCTGAAAATCTTTTTCTTGCTACCCTTACCCCGATTTCACGCAGGCAGGTCTGGTGTCGGCCTATCCCTTGAACAACGACTACCGCGATGCCATAGGAGACAATCCCGACTTTGTGAACGCCCAGGCAGGGGGTGGACCCGACCCGTCACCGTGCGGTTTCTTGGGTGAAGATGTGATGTCCCTGGAGTTCAAACCACTAGAACCATGGGGGTTCATGTAACCAGCATTGTTTAGCTAAGGATTGTCCTCATCCAAATTGAGTCAACCTTTCTTTTTTTTAATTGGGGGGTTGAACCTTCGAGATGCAGTCAAACAACCTGGTTCCAGTTTGGTTCGGCCATTTGTGCTGTGCAATTCATTTCTTTTTTGGGGGGGAGGTCACCATGGCCACGGTCTAGAGTTTCATTTGTGGCACGTGCGAGCAACGACCATTTACAAGGCCAATTTTTTTGTTCAGCCGAGTAGCACCTGTTTGCATGAGGTGTCAACAGACAAGTAATTCGCAGCACCCCCGCTTTTCAAACCTGGCCGACCTGAGAACCCAAAGGAAACTGAAACGCCCTTGGTTGGCCCAAGCAAGCTATGGATGCAAGTTCTGTCTTTGCATGTGCCCATTTTAGGCAGGACTTTAAAGGGACCTTAAAGGCATGAAGTTGAATGGCGACCATCCTCAAGCATGGTTGCTGGACATCGTTCCAGATGGAAATGATGTCCGCGACAGGGTCCCGCCCAAGATCGTGGGATAGTCCTCGCCAGGGTAAGTTCATGTCCGACATCTACGACACGACGAAAGTTTGCCTGTGATGGGAAGATGCGCAAAAGGGAATCTGGCCGAAGGCCCAATCCACATGAAATCTTGGATGTTCAGCCCACATACTACAAGCGCTTTAAAGCCAGGTTTGGTCATCTTCAAATGGGTGCACCATCATTAATTGTTTAGCCCCTATATTGGGTAAGTCATGTCCTGATATGGGGTAAGTGGGGTTAGTTTCCTGATTTCTTCTTGGGTAGCCAACCCTCTCAGGCGGTTGACCATCCAAGTGTCCCAGCGAGTATGCGCTTGTATAGGTTGCCATAGGTTGGCCCAAACCCGGCAACTTCTCGACAGATGTTCGCCAGAGATTTTGCCCCTTCCATGGATGGAGGTTTGGAGAGGCTTCCTTGGTTTCTCTTGCAGGCGCCAACCGTTGGAAATGCAACTGGTGCTGGCGAGGTTGTGCTTCTCGACGGTTCCGCGTACCAGATTTGCCTGGTCGCTTGACTTTTGTTCCGAACCCTTGCAAGACAACGACAAACTACAAGTGGTTGTTTGATTTTTTCTTCATTGCAGGTGGGTTCAAAGAGAGGCGAAAAGGAGAGCCGCCATTTTCGGCAGTTTCCCATGACACGCCCCACTGGATTTTAGCTGCTCCTTTTCGTCGGCAACTCTTCGTCATTCTCCATTTAGTTCTTAAAGATGGTTCCCTTTGCTGGCAGGCAAATGGTATTGGGTCCCTTTGCTTCCGCCCAAGTAACTACCAATTTTCTATCTCTGCGACGTCGAAGCGGAGCAACCCTTCGGCCCAGTTTGGTCTTGTTATAACATTGCTGCTTTGCGTGGGAATTGTAGATTTCGGACAAGTACATGGGTTTGACAGCACGACATGTTCTAGTAGTCATGGGCTCTCTTTTGAACCAACAAGGGAAAACACTGCATAATTCCTATATAGGGAAATGGAGGTTTTCAGAACGTGGAAGATCAGAAGCGATTCTGCCCTGCAGCATGCCAGCAACCATGAGCGATCCCAGATGGCAACGCAACAGGGTGGCGGGACATGCCCCCCCGACTTCTGCCCCAATGGATCCCCGATACTCCGAAAGGCGTTTCTTGCTTTTAAAGGATGGTTCCCTTGGCTACTGTACAGATGCATGCGCTTGTCTTTTTCGAGTGTACCCCGCTTTTGTTGCTAAAAAAGGGAAGCCAAAAGGCAACACAGCCGTTTTGCGGGGTGCACCCAAAAAAGACACACCGAAATGGATCAGGGTGTACCAATGCAAGGATTTGCAAATGGCAAGAATTCCCTACAAAAAGAGGTTTCCAACTGCGAGTTGTGTTGAAACTCATTGCAAGGTTGAACAAAATGTGGACCAAGCGCATGCGTTTTGGTTCGGAACAACGAGCTTGAGCCACGATTGGGACGGCGCTCCGCGGATAGCAAGGGCCTTCCGGTTCACTCACTCGGCACCGCTCTTTATCTTGCTGGCTGGTCAGTTTTGTGGTCGTGAAGACCCGCTTGGCCAGTCTTTTTCTCCAGCGATGGCCAACGGCTTCGGAAAGAAAAAAGAAAAAGGTGGCCGCGAGCTGCAGCGAGGTGTTTGTAGCCTTACGTTTTGATCGTGGATGGTGTTTGTTGGGCAAGGTTTGTTTTCCAACAAGCAAGATGATGTTTCAAAGAACAGCCTAGGGATTAACCTCCCCAGCAACAGGCGCCAGTGGGAGGATGTCTGAAAGATCTATTGCCTCTCGATTCATGAATCCCTGAGGAAGCTTTCCTTTAGAATTTCCTTTAGGGGAACTGCCAAGTACTCCGTCAGGCGGATTCCTCGGGGTAAGACCGACATATCTCTCCAAGGCCCGCGTCTGCTTGTCAGAACAGCTTTCCTGTTTCTCCACATGGCCAGTCCGATTCTGGGGCACAAAAGCAGGACACAGCCTCGAGCAGCTGACTGCGGCAGCTCCTTTGCCGGTAGGCTCCTTTTGCAAGTCCATGTTGTGTCGAGCGCTGCGCGCCATGTTACCCAGCTGACGGCTAGGTGTCTCGGCTGGGTGTCTCGAATGTGTCTTTCTCTGCCATCCGTCTCGGAGGGATCCGTGTCAAGACTCATCTGGTACGAGCCTGATTTTTCTAATGTTAACCCCGGATTAATAAACCCCTGGCTGATTTTGATCGGGGGGTGTCCCCTTTTAGTGGGGATTCGGACCACTTTTGGAGGGAACACCCCCCCTGACAATGGGACGGGTTTATTCATCCTGGGTCAACATTGCAAAGTTTTTGTTGTTGTTGATTTTTTCCACAAAGTTGTTTGTTTTCTGTATATATATATATAGATTTCTGGAGATGTCCGCAACATTCCAAGCCAGCGAAGCTCCTCCGTCCGTGGCCTTTCCGTGGCTCGAGCAGCCGCCCGCCCGAAGCTGGTGACGGCTTTGGGAAGCGAAAAGGTCCCGGATCATGGGGCGCTCCACGTGGCCGGGGGCCTCGGGGCTTGTGGCCGGCTGGGGACCGCTCCAAGACGATGTTGTACCCTAGGGTAAGCTAAATGGCTGTGGGTCAAGACCGTTTTGGATCCCATTTTGGGGTAGGTGAATTCAGAACCGTTGCTCTCCCTGAAAAGGAGGTTACATGCACCGGTTTTGACATGACACGGAGCAACTGCTTGAAGGCCTAAGTCCGAAACCCCCCAAGGGTTCGGGGTTCCATATTGTACGCGACCAACGCCAAGGACTTGATCACTTTAAGATCCCCTGAACGAGTCGCGGAAGTGGCTGGCCCCCAAAACTCGATTCTCCCCGACCTGGATGGAACATGTTTGGGTCTGAAGACTGGGAGCTTTTGTGTTTGGGTGCAGGTTTTTCTTTTGAGCCAACCCCAAGAAAGAGGTGCGCTGAAAAGAAAGGCACGCATCTCGCAGGTCTTTTTCGGGCATGTCTGGTTTGGTCTAGGTTCACTGGAGGTCCTTTTGGAATGATCCTTAATCTTGACGGTTGCAAACCAGGCCCTTACATTAGATTTTCAGAGCAAACCATGTGAAGATCTGCTAGTCTTGTGATGATCCATTTTTTATTTTCTCTGTGTTGATGTCTTTCTGGTCCGTGCTCGCGCAAATTGGAGCGGCAAACGGAGCCTATCGGACCATGTATCTATATATATATATATGGTACCCCCCCCATGGACCCTGTATATATATATATACACATACTACATATCTTTCCAGGGTTAAATGATGCTTCTTCCCAGACAACACTGAAACCAGAGCTGGTATTTGGAAAGACCGACGGTTGAGAAGAATGGGGACCCAACCCCTGTTAACAATTCACTTTACTTTTCTGTGAGATGGAGACGGTGGTTTCTTCTACGTTCAACATATTCTTACATTTTGATAGGCACACCTGGCACATCACTCTGAACTGAGAGCAGCGCAGCGAGGATTCGTCAAACTGCCGGCTGCACTCTTCTCAAGCATGTTTCTTGCTGCCTTTTTTTCCTCTTCCAGAATCACAGCATTTGCAGGGCACCTATCAGCTTTGCATTGAAGGGACCTCGATGTTGAGGAAGAGCACCATGGATTGGATCATATAACGCGAGACAACCGGCTTGGGCTTTTCTGGAACTGAAGCTCCTCCAGGCGATTGAATCCTCAGGGCTGGAGCTGTTTGGGCCGGACATACTGTGGATGGACGAAATCCATTTCGCGCCACTTGGAAACCATGGGAAACCATTGTTTATTGGTATTTACAGGGTATTTATCATTCCAGGGTTTCTTAGGTGGTGCAGGGTTTCGTCCATCCACAGTATTTCCTAAGGGTTCTGCAGACCCAATGCCTGGGGGCTAGCAGCAACCCCTTACAACCTGAGTATTGCCAAGGTATCGGTTCTGGGTCCATTTCTCATAGGCCTTGCCCATCGGATACGTGAAACGGGTGTCAGTTTTGTGCCCATGTCCTATCAGTTGGTGGGAATCGGTTCATAGGAATCAGTGGATCCCGTCCAACTTTTTCGACCGCGGTGGCTTTTCTCCACAAAACCCGGTCCCCCAAAGAATCCACGGTTTGAGTGACCCGTTCGGGTCAACTGGTTTTGCGTCTTGCCCTGGATCGTTTCTTTTTTTTTTTCCTTTCTGGAGCTTGGGAGCAGCTTACCGCGCAGCGGCGAGCGCACCGGCGAAGGGGGTGCGATTTGGAGAACAAAGCATTTGGACCAAAGGGGTTGATTCCGAGCCCAGGGATCCTTCTTCCTAGAAAACCACCCAAAACCCTGGGGAAATGGATATGGTTTTCGAAAAGAACATCCTTCTTCCTAGAAAACCACCCAAAACCCTGGAGAAATGGATCTGGTTTTTGAAAAGAACGATGGCTGAAAAGAACGATGGCTGAAAGAATGGAACAAGAATGGAAATGGAAGGTACCCCTAGACTCATCCATGGTTGACCTTTGGGCTTCAACAAAGGCCTGACGTTGGACCGCTTCAGGTTGATTATCCTTGCCCAGGGTGCTCTCTCGTCACGCGCCCAGTTTCCAGAGTTCGAGGGAGAGCCGCGCTGGTTTGAGGGCCTACCCGTTTTTGTGTTTTTGGGGTGTCCAGATATATTTAGAAATTGGGGGAGACGAAATTTGAATGCGAGCATCTGGTTTTTGGTGCCCCGAATGAATCGTTAGCTTTTGGAAACCATAGGAACCCAACCCCCCCCCCCCTCCCCCCCTCCCCCCCTCCCCTGTGTGGGTATGTGAAAAACGTCTTTCCGCCCCGGACCAGGGATTCCCTGGAAGGTAGATCCGAGGAAAGCCGGGGGCGCAGGTTTGGGGGTCCAGTTTGAGGCATACCGGCCTTTGCCAGATGGGGCTGTCTGTTTTTCGAGGGTACCCTTTTTCTAGTGCTACCTTCCCGTTTCTTTCCAGGGATCCTTCTTTCTAGAAACCTCCGAAAACCCAGGGAAACGGCCGGTTTTTTGAAAAGAACGATGGTCAAAAATAAAGATTCCCTTGTGAATTAGGGATCAAGGGACACTCAAAACGCCCACCACCATTTTGTGGGTCCCCTATGTCAAGACATCTGGCTATGAGCTTGAATGGGGAACGCCCCAACAAATGGTTCACGGAGACAAATCCCCATGCAAAGGATGTCCAACGC